ACGTGTGCCGAAGCCGCGACGTAAGGTTTCGCCCGACCATCAGGAGGTATACGAGCTTGTAATGAATTATTCCACATGCGAGGAGTGAGATGTCGCGACTATAGGAGCCGAACTCTGCTGTCCGTCCAGGTGATGAGAAGACGAGCTGCGTCGCACGACCATAGCAAGCAGGAGGCGGCGGAGCGGTCTCGTCGCGAGAGGTTCAACGAAGCGAAGGGCTGCGGCAAGTGACAGGCAAGCTTTGGAACATGCTTGGTTGTGTGTATTCCGCCGTCGCAAGCTAAATATCGCCACAGAGTCATCCCCAGCGTCGATGTCGATACCATAGCTCTCATATCTGATCTTAAGCTCAAGCTCCAGCGCTCCCTGTCCTCAGTAATCATGACGACTGCCGCTTCGTCATGGCCTGAAGCGGCGCATGCGCTACCGACCGGCATCGTTCGCTAAGACGGTACAACCTTCGGTTCGATAAGGAAGGTCAACGCGGCTGAAAATTACAAGTATTTGTAAAGACGTGGCCTTGCCAGCAGATGAAGTGTCTGGGAAAGCCAAAGACGGCCAAGCTAGCATCGGAAATTGTGCGCACAATCGTTCGTAATCGCTCCATTCGCACAGAGTCATTCGCTGACCGTCCCTAAAGATACTCGCCTTTTTTGTCCGAAGCTCAACGTCATCTCTTCTTCCTGTAAAATTGTGAATGTTTCTATCATCATTTGCCCATAGGCCGCTCAGAATACTGGAGAGAGAATTGGAGACCAATATCATGGCTCCACAAGCCTGACAGCTCTCCTGTACGGCGTGGACTCCGACGTGAAGCTGCTCACTCCCCTTCTCAACGACCCGGTCGTCCCTGACGAAATCAAAGCCGCAGCCATCAGTAGCTGAGTGCCGAGCCACTACACCGTTGTGCCCGACATCGCACACATCGCGCCAGAGAATCTGCGCTCCCGCAGAAAAGAGCAGCCCCCGACACCGCACACGATGGCACCCGACAAGCTCAAACGCATCGTCAAACAAGGGAACCTCTTCCGCTCGTGCATCGCCGTGCTGTAGGCCGTAGAGTCTATCTGGACGGGCCACTTCCGCCCGACGTTTTCTCGACGCGAGACCCTTTTCCACCTCAACAGCCTTCATTGGGTGGAGCGCAGGTCTCATCGGCGTACCCCGTCTATCCTGTTTCTCCGCGCTGAGAGCGACGCGGGTTCTAGCGACGTTTTCAAGACGTTCACTAGGTTAGAGGAGGCGCTATGAGACGCGCTAGACATGGTATGTTGTGCGCTTTATTGTTACAGGTTGAATAACCCGAGCTGACGCCCTCGGTCGAAGCGCTATGAGGTAGAGAAGTCCGATGGCAGCGGGGCGATGCAAGCTCGAAGTTTCGCGGATGTAAAACTAGTCACGCGATGCGCGAATGTCATTGAACACGACGTTTTTAGACACGATACTCAATAATGGGGTGTCAGCCAAGGCACATGGGTAGATGAGGCTCTGTATTTGGGGCCGTTAACCAGTTCTTGTAGGCTTTCAGCTCCCAGAAGAGACGCACTACAATGCTGGAGATCATCTCCTTGTACAACGCTGCTACACCGCCCCATCCTGTCCACGAACTCGTCCAGATATATTCTGTGCGCCCTCGCTCATTTCGGTTTTCTGTTCGACCGGAAGGTGTGTATCGTAGACCTCCAGCAAGATTCAAGCTGATGAGACGTGTGTGACGATCTATTCAGCCTGGCTTCCGATCGAGCGACCTACCAACGGCTTCTTGCTGCCGAGCGATGCGCAACACTTGCTCGACCCACAACGATGCGCAACCTGCGTGTTCTCAGCGAGGGAGCCGCATCGGATGCGGATGGGCGCGCACCTCGCCATCGACGTCCCCATCGCTGCTTTCCCACAGCTTCTGCCGAGCATGTGCGTCGGGCAGCGCTCGATCTCCTAGTCGCGGCCCGTCGACGTGTCACGCGTGTCACTCACGGCTCGCGCATTTTGGGCTCAAGAAGTCGTCCTCCGCCATCGCGTCTGCGTACTTCAACAGCCTTTACCCGGGCGAGAGGGTGCGGTTTGACAAAGATGGGTGCAGCCTGCAGACATCAAGGAGAGGCTCATGCTCGTCGTCTAGGACGCGATGCGGTCCGACCACGCCCCACTATCGGGAAGTGTATGCAGCAGCATGGTGGTTAGACGATCTGTCATGGACGTGCTTAGATGGCAGGCCTTAGCAGCCAGATTTTGTTACAATCTCTCGACCCACGGACCATCGAGTCGGAACGGTCGGGATATTCTGTGCGCATTGACCATGGGTAGCAAAGACAGTCGACAATGCAATTCAGAATGTTGACGAATCACTCATGCTCATTGGAAGGCCTTGGACGCTGCAGGATGATTGAAGTAACGAGCCTTGGGATGAAAGGGATACCGCCAGCAAGGAAATGGATGTGGCGGGATGTGGTAAGAACCGCGCCGAAGCATTGGCCGGTATTTAATATTATAGCAGATTGTTTATGTACCATTTTGGTTGGCATTTTCAACGTAAGGCGGGAAATTTGAAGCATGTGGTATGAACTTTCCGGATAGAATTGCGGGTCGCTATGCCTCTAGTATCTGGATTAGCCTTAGTAGGTACCGCTGGATGCATCTGTCGCTCGTTTCCTTGGATGTTCAACGGGTTCGACGGCGAATTGATGTCCCTTTCTCGCAGCGGCGGCAGCGTCTTTCAACGCTGCACCTCTTTTCAAAGTTGAGACATGGTAACCGGTTCGTTCCGCTCCTCGGAACACTAGTAAGTGGCTTCTAGCTGCAACACTCCGTGACACACAAAGCTCACCAGTTGAAGGGGTCTGATTTCTAGACCTGAGCCTCTATGCGCAGCGATATCTTCTTCGCCAGCATGCACGGCTTTTCTACGCTTACTTTATTGTAACTCACTTAATCGACAAGATTATTTTGCGGCATTTTGCAGCACGACACGCCACTAATCGCGTTGGGGGACCGGCCGTGGAGGACTTATCTGCACACCACTCGACTAGGCTTATTCTCTAATATAGTAAGCGTCGGTTTTCCTGCTTGCATAAGTCACAAATGCCTCCATCGGTCTAGGACAAAGCGCATCCCAGAGTCAAATTCAACCATGGACGCCGGTTCACACTTCAGCATTGGTCTCACGACATCCTTCCTCGTTTACCCCCGCGGCATCGCTCCCTTCCTCACATGGTTCGTCACTCCAGCCATCCTGTAGTGTTCCCCCAATATTACCCAGCCGGCCTTCTGACATTCTGAGTCGCAGTGTCGGCTGTCCTTGCTGATGATTGCTCATGTGCATGGAGTAGCTCGACATTGCTGAGCCAGCCGTCCGCAAGTTGATCATGAAGCGGCTAATGAGCACCGGAGGCTGCGTGGCCAGTCCTATGAGTAAAGAAACAAAATCACTAATGCGACGTAGGGTACGCACCAGGGTCGTCGATAATGCGCCCACAAGTGATGTGCTCTTGAGTTTGTTTAACGTCAGCTATCGGCCCACGTTCTCACGGCGCGGACATACCACAGAGGCGTTGTCAGTCAACAGCTGGGCAGTGTTCAAGGCCAGGAGTACTCTGATACGTCGTTGCCTATGA